GAGGCCCCAGACGGCCCCAGGAGGCCCCAGGAGGTCGCAGGAGCCCCCAAGAGGCTCCAGGAGGCGCAAGGACAGGAGTGGCTCCAATCCTATATGATTTACCTATGTTCCTATTGATGATGCTTCCCCTGGGGCACGAATCTTTGGTTGTGTACGTATGTTCCTATAGATTGCCCCTCTATTGTGGCTCCAACCCTACGTGTTTGCGCGTGTTCCTATAGAGTGGGCCTTTCCTGGGGCGCGAGCCCTTGATGCTTTACATAGGTTCCTACAGATTGCCCCCTCTCCTGTGGCGCCAATCCTATGTGTGGTTATGTATGCTCCTCTAGATTAGGCCTCTCCTGGGGCACGAGCCCTTGGTGTCTTACGTGTGTTACTATCGAATGGTTGCCATATGTTCATGGCTGTCCCTGGGGCACGAACCCGTCTTGTTTATAAATGCTCCCATCTGCTGCCCCTTTATTGTGGCTCCAATCCTACGTGTGTCACGTATGTTCCTGTCGATTGGGTCTCTCTTCTCCTCTCCGTGAGGTGGCTGGCTGTACCACGTTCCGGCCACTGAGTGAGGTCTTTTGGGGCAGCCAACGAAGCGCAAGGGTTTCGCACGGCGTCTCATGAGCACCCTATTCATTTCTGCCTCATGGAGGAAGGGATCGCGTGGCCATTTCGACTCAGTCACGCTCAGTCGATGCGCAGGCCGCCGACGTGCAGATACACTCATCCTAAGCTGAGACATACTCAGACTCATGCGCATAGACTCACTCGTACGACTGGGACTCATTCACACTCCATCACGTCCACGGTGATCTTCGCTCCCAGTCTGTCAATACTCAAGCCCGTGTGGATTCGACAACTCGTGCACCTAGGCACTTACGGCCGAGAGGTCGATGCAAATGGATGCGCCAAGTGAATACTTAGGCTTGGTTGAACAACGCATCATCTGTCCCCGCAGTTTGAACGATAACAGAATCAGGGGGTGCTTCCGATTTCGTGATGAAAATTGAATTGTCGACCAAGGGATCGCGACCAGGAAAAGACTATGTTGGGATATGATGCGAACGTTGGCTACTGTCTACCCTCTGACAGGAATGGGGGCGCAGTAAGATTGACTATATATCTGGAGGTATATATCTGCATCGGGAGGGACAGATTCGAGGCATCGCACTTCCTCAAGCCTGCGTCCCTCTCACCCCGTTTGGGCGCGAATAGCTTGCACCACTTTCCAAGTAATGCGTCGTGGCCTCAGGCGTATGTGAACCGAGTTTCCAAGCTCTGCAGCAGCCCATGCCTGCTCCAAGCTTCTATCGACCACATCGTGGAACAGTTGATGAAAGGCAATTTTGCGAATACGTTCGCACTTCAGGCAGTCGACCACGCCGCCTCGCACAGCCAGAGTCTTTACCAAATCGTCGACTCCGGGGTCAAGCTGGCTTGTGATGGGCTACCACCCAGCATTAGTTTCCCCAATGTAATAAGGCGCTCTGCGGCATCAACTCGCATGCCGTGCTCAACGAGTGGTTTGCGACGGCTTGACGTGAATGGAATACGGGGTAATTGGCAGTCCATGAATCTCAGTTGGGCTAACGTTGCGCCCTCTCTGCTTCGGTACGTGCAATAAGTAGCTTACACGCTTACACAAGATATCCGCCTACGAAAGGAGTAGTGGATTGGGCAGCTGGTGCACCGCTGGTGCTGCGATCGCAGCCGTTTTAGTTATAATTCCGCGCAGCTGAGCCAGCTCTAAGGCGGAGGCGTGCCAGGCAACCAGCAGGGCGGGCATTGAACGCAACGAAGTGTTCTTGACCCCTCTCGCAAACAGTACGGACTGGGGTGGAGCAGCTCCCAGAGCAGTCCTCGGTGCAAGGCGGCGGCCTCCCCCCAGGCGGACCACGGGATCGAGCCAGAGCGACCCAGCCGGCACACCCACACTGACGACTGCAGCCCCTCACAAGGGCAGGGTCTCAGCATCGGGAATTTCGGCGCACGTCTCCAAGCCGACACTTGGCCGCGCGCCAAGGGGAGAGGGCGAGGGGGCAGCTGTCTGAGAAGGCAGGGGTCTTCTCACGAGGGATCCTTCTGTGAAGGCCCCTTTGAAGGCAGGAGGGGTTCCAGGAAGCCCCCTGCCCTGTGCTGTGAAGGCGGGGGTCTTCTCACAAGGGACCTGGTGCGAAGGCTTCCTTTAAGGGCTGGCAGGCGCTCCATGCAATCTTGCCCTCATCCCCCTCGTTGATGCTCCTTTTCCAAGAGGCTTCCACCCTGCGGAATGCTTAAGAAATCATGGGTTAAGAAATTCATATTCTCTGAATCTGAATAAAAGCCCAGAATTTCTTCTGAAATCTTAAGATTGACAGTGAAACAGTAAGAACGGTCGAGACTCTGGCCGAAAACTCAAGTTTCCTTAAGCATCGCCTAAGGTGTACGTCTGCGCCTCCGCTGGCGAGACATCTCGAGACTACAGAGGCCGCGCCCCTGGCCCTGCCACCCTCCGCGCCCTCCGCCGGGTACACGGGAGCCTCCAGGCTCTCATCGACCCGCCCGCGAGAAAAAGCCTCCAGGGCGCACCTGCTGGGAGGGCAGCTCCCTGCAGCTCTTAAGCAAGGGCCGGCATAAACATGAACTTTCGGAGCTCGGCGGGGGCTTCTTGGATTGGAGCAGGATCCCCCTCCTTGGCGCGCGGAGCGCGCCGCCAGGGAGTTCCAGCGCCGATCCAAAAAATCCGCGCGGACGTTCAAAAGGCTATGCGTATGCGGCACCGGCTGCACCCACGCTGACAGCCGTAGTGCCACTGGACCCTGCGGCGCTACCCCCCGAGACACCCCATGAACGAGGTGCATGGCCGTCCCAATCCCTGACGTTGTCGGGTTTCAGATGGACTTAAAATTTGAAGTCAAGCCCGGGGACATACGAAGAGGGGCGGCCATCCTCGACGGCGGTGCGTCCGAATAGCCCCTCAGGAGTGTATCCCCGACTTTCTCTCCTCTCCGAAGGGCCAAATGCCTCAGGCAAGACTCGGCGACTGGGGGTCGATGAACGGCCTGCGACCCATGGCGAGCTTCAAAGTTCGAGGGTCGAGGTTTGAAAATGATTCCACTGCTTTCGGGCCTGCCTCTGGAGGTGGGAGCCTCCACGGGCCTCCGGAGACCTCCGCGGGGATCTATACGCATCCAGAGACCTCCGGGGGCCATCAGGAGAATTCCGGCGGAGAAAAGAGCCCGCCCTCAGATCTTGGCGTTGCAGTGTATTTATAACGGGCGTTTTCACCCTCGGGCCCTCGGGACCCTCACGGATCGATCCGGCTCGAAAACTGACGCAGAAAGATGGGGTCTGGGACTCCAGTCGTGATTTTTGTCTGCGATGCCGCACCTTTTTGCTGCCTCGTCGGATCTGAGGGCGCCTGGTGCTCTGCACCCCCGACCGCGGCTCCCCGCCTGCCAGGTTCGGAGGGAGCGAAGAGGGAGTGCACGGCCACGGCAGCAGGAGCGGCAAGGCCTGGTGCTGCGCGCAGACAGCCCCTCAGATGCGGCGTCACGAGGAAGAGACAGCACGGCAGAAATCACAGCGGGGGCCCTGCGCCCCACCCTCCCGCGTGTTGATTCGAACCGGGTCGATCCGCGGGGGTCCCAGGGCCCAAAGGAATAGGGCCAAGTCGCTGGCTGCGAAAAAAATGCGACGCCAGGATCTCAGGGAGGTACAGTGGAGGCCAGTCTACAAGAGACCTTCCACAAGAAATCCAACCCTGAGACCCCATGAAGTCCATTGATTTTTGGGGTGGGAACGTCACGCCTTCCACAGCAAGACCATCGAAACCCAAGAAACCCAGGGCACCCTGGAGACAAGCAGGGTGTTTCTTGGCATGGGCCCCCACTGTAAGTAGTCCAGGTTGACTTCAGCAGGCCCCCGGCGTACGACAGGTTCGCATCGTGTCGACTCTGGCGCTGATTCCTGACACCGCGGGGATTGTTCAACCTTGGACGATCGGCCATTTCGGAAACGCCGGATCGTTCATTGATGGGCCGATTCTGGGCCACTAACGGCGTTCAACCTTAAACGCACGCGCTGGGGTTGCCGCCGGTCGACACGACGCGAACCTGCCGTAGTCCAGGTTGGCCTCAGCAGTCGCCTGGGGTAGTCCAGGGCGGTTAGGTGCAGTGCATTGGTGTGGAGACCGCCCTGGACTGCCCTGGGGGCCTGTTGAGGCCAGCCCAGACTACAGTCACCGTGCTGAAACAGGGAACGCTGAATAAGGAACGAAGTAGCGTTTCTGACCACGGAGAAAACAGCGGACACGAAGAGGTTTTCTGACATAGATCCGCGTAACGGCCCGCAAATCAGATTCACTCCTAGAAAAGTCTCTGTTTCAACGTCTTGACTGTACCTCTGGGGCAATGTCAGTGCGCGATCACGAGACTTGCCAGGAAGGAGGAGGATGAGGATTTCCCATCTAGAAGTCCTCTGGGCCCAACGTTCCCCAAGCAGTGCTTGCGCTTAGGGGTTCTCACTTCTCTTGTAAGGGACCTGGGCCTGGCCGTCGGTCCGGCCAGCTTCTGGCCGCCCGTCGCCGCCCGTCGCGGCCGTCCTTCGTCACGAGCTTGATCGTGCGAGGCTCGCACTTTGCCTTGCCTCGCACTGCGCTCCACTGCTCTGTGTTGCTTTGCGTCGCTTGGCAGTGCTCTGCGTTGCTCTGCGTTGCTCTGCGTTGCAGGACTGTGCGCCACACATGTTGCGCCACACATGTTGCGCCAGATGGACTGTTCCAGCCGGATTGCACCAGACGGATTGCACCACCTGGAATGCACCGCGCATGCCGTAGGAGTTCACTGTTTGCGGCCCACGCTGGCTGACAGTGTTCTTCCTGATGTCGATCCCCTGAGGACTCGACCCCTGCCCCAGGGCGGGCTCCTCGCCCGGAGTCCCCCCGTGGCGCCCGCGGGGGGCCTCCCGAGGCCGAAGACCGCAGAGACCCTCCGCCGTGCTCTCCTGGCCCCCTTGCGCGGGGGCGCCTGGCACCGGCGCCGACGTCGGCGGCGCCGTCGGCGGCGGGGTCGGCGCGGGCGACGGAGAGGCGAGACCTGCGGCTCGGGGCCGGGCCGCTCGGGCCGCCCGAGGGCGAAAAAAAGGCACCGACCGCGATCGGAGCGGGCGTCTCTCGCCGAGGGGGGGAGGGGGGGGGGTCCGCCGCTCGGCCGCGGGGGCCTCTCTCTCTCGTCCTCCGGGGGCGCCCGCGGGGCGGCGGCACACGCCGGGCGGCCGACGCCGGAGGTGCTGGCAGCCCCCACGTCGCGAGGCTTCGCGCGTCGCGCCCCCCCACGATGGACGACGCGCGGCGTCGTCGCACGCTCGCGCCGACCCTCTGTGGAAGGGGTCGGCTCTCCGACGCGTCGACGCTCGTCCTGGACACTGTCCTGGGGCGGCCCCACTCGCGCGCCGATTCTGCGTCGAACGCTCGTCGATTTGAGCCGAGCTTGAGTCGGCCTTGAGAGTCGAGCCTGAGTCGAGCTGGAGTCGAAGTGGTGCCGAACCAGAGTCGGACTGATCCGTTAGGTGGGCGCCAGGAAAGTCCCCCAAACGAACCTTTTTTGCCGCGGCGACTTGGGTCCAAGACGCGGTCGGGGCAGCCGAGGGACGATTCGGCTTCGGGGCCAAGATATACACAACAGGAGCAGGAAGGGCACGGAGGGGGGGGAGAGGAAGCCGCGGGGAGTGGAGCACGCTCAGACCGTGAAGCTCTCGCGCGCGTCCCCAGAGAGGACATCTAACGACACAGACCGCGACGCGGGAAGCGAGATTGCCTTCGCGCCCCCGCGGGTGCCCCAGAGCTCCGCGCCGCGAGCCCGCCGCACCTGCGGCTCGGGGCCGGGCCGACCTTGCCGCCGAGGGCGGAGGCGCCGACCGGGTTCGGGGGCGGCTCTGTCACTGGTTTCTGCAGAGGTCTCCATCCCATCCGAGGCCACGCCGACGTGCTCCCCAACGGGTCCGTGGCATACAGGCACACCACTCTGATGCGCCCCTCTCGGGGAAGGAGGAGCAGGAAGAGCAGGAGGAGGGGGAGGAGAGGGAGGAGGAGGAGGAGGAGGAGGAGGAGGAGGAGGAGCTCACAGGCTGCAGAGAGAAAGAAAAAAGGGCGGCCAAGAGCACGAGACGAAGAGCGGACAAGAGGGCGAAGAGCAGAGAGAAGTCTCAGCCCGTCCTCAAGCTCCTGCGGTGGCGGTGGCGCCGTCGGCGTAGGCACAACTGGTCGGGCTGCGCTGGCAAACCCAGCAGCGACCACGCTGTGCAGAGCTTGGATTCTCGGCAGAAAGCGACCAGTAGATCACGGCCCAGTCGGTGGCTCGCTATGGTCAACAGATCAGTAACCGAGCGCCGCCAATAATGATACACATGAAACAGCATATAAATGTGAAACCCAATGCTTAGACTGGACGGGAGCGAGCACGGCAGCAATGACAACGAGAGGCGGGCAAGAGGGGAGGCAGCGCAAACCGACACAGAGAGAAGAGACATGTGTGTGAACAAACATTCGATACAACTGCAGCAACTCATGTGCCGAAGCGAGACACAATATTCGGCGCTACATGCTATACACGAGCGAGTCGGACTAAGTAATGCATTCGAAAGCACCAGCAGTTACCAATGGTAGTCAGAACACTGAACACAACAGAACAGGGAACCTTTTAGGGCGATCCTGTACAGGCCGAAAAAAACTCCATCGATGACGCTAGGGCTCACGGGTCGGCAATGCAGAAGGAGACGTCCGATCTCATGATGACCCACGAGATCCACAAGCCTGAAACATGTCTTTGCAATGTATGGAAGATGTGACCCTAGATAATCAAACAGAGAACAGCAGCTCCAAGCAACAATGCTGAGCTGGCTGGAAGGCAGGAGGGGCCGCAGGCCGGATCCCTCGAAATCCATCCCGGAAACAGAGCAGGAGCCAGAAGACGAGAAGGAGGACGAAGTCAATGAAGCCGTCAAATGTGTCGCGGAAGTGGAGCTGTGCTCTGAGACTCTGCGCCGATGCGCGACATCGTCTACACTGCTGAGGATGCGCTGCAAACCCATAGTTGTGACAGCGCACCACACATCGGCAGATGTTCGCACTGGCAAAATAGCTTCTATCGCGCAGCAGCGATCCACGGACTGTAAATCGGCTCCTCGATGGCGAAACGCTGCAGCTCTTAGTCGTTCGGTGGGAGGAGGAGGATCGGGGAGACGTAAGACCCGGTTACGGGGGACTCGGAAATCCCCGACGAGGTCGTCAAAAAAAATGACGAGGCCGAGCCTGCATTTTGACGAGGCCTCCCGCTGCAGACATCCAACGAAACTCCTACTCGTCAAAATCCGAGTCGCGGTCGTCAAAAAACGATGGCGAACCCGAGTCCTGGCAAACCCGGGTCTTACGCTCCCCCGAGAGGAGGAGGAGGAGGAGGAGGAGGAGGAGGAGGAGGAGGAGGAGGAGGACGAGGACGAGGAGGAGGAAGAGGAGGAAGAGGAGGAAGAGGAGGAAGAGGAGGAGCAGGAGGTGGAGGCGGGAGGAGGGGAGGAGTAGGTGCGGAGAGGAGGTGGGAAGGTTGGGGGCAGGGGAGGGAGGGCAAGGCGGGGGCCAGGAGGCGGGAGGACGAGGAATTGTCATCAGGATGCCCGCAACCCAAGCAGCTAACATCACGATTTGTTCACGACGTGGTCCCCTAGACCTCTCCACCCCTTCCCCAGGGACAGGCTTCGCATCCTGAGGGCCGCTGATTAGTTGTCCTGGGGCCCGACATTGGCCCCCATGGGAGCCCAAGTCTTTGGAACATCTGCCGCCCCGGCTTTCTGCTCGTGACAACGGACGCCTGGGACGAGGCGCCCGACCTGTGGTCGCGTAGAGCCAGTCGAGCGAGCTGAACACCCGGCTGTACACTCCCGCGTACCCCTCGGGGCCAGCGCAGCCCCTGGGCACAGGGCGCGGAGGCGGCGCGCAGCCAGTGCCTAACCGGTCGCTGTCGTCGTCGTCGTCGTCGTCGTCGTCGTCGTCGTCGTCGTCGTCGTCGTCGTCGTCGTCGTCGTCGTCGTCGTCGTCGTCGTCGTCGTCGTCCTTCGCCGTCGTCGTCGTCGTCATCGCCGCCGTCGCCGCCGCCGAAGGTGAAACGACTCGCCCAAGCCGGCATTTGCCAGGGCCCCAGGAGGGCGGGCAGCACCAGACCGCGGCCTCGAAGAGCGGCTCACGGTCTGGATGCCTGCCGAGAGAGCCAGTGATGTACACGTGGCGCCGCCGCCGAGAGGAGAAGCTCGCAGACGTAGGAAAAAACGATTCCTCGGCAATCTGCCCATGCGCGCGCGATCCCTGCGCGACTCCCGCCAAGTCCGGTGCATCCCCGAACGCGCTGCTTCACTGATCGTCGCGTGCGGCCAGCATTTATCCGTGTGCATCCTTCGACGGGACCGGTGGATCCTGCCAATCAGAGGGCCGCTCTGGGGTTCAATGGTGAGGCGGCTCACTCATGAAAGGAGCCGCACTCTGACTGAGAAAAGTAATGGGTCCCTGCAAGAAGAACTTGGAGACCCAGTCTTTTTTGGCGCCGACCTGCGAGCGGGCCCAGCACCTGCAATGATGTCGCTTCGGGGCTCAGACGGGCTGGCGACCACAGCAAGCCGACGGCCTACGCCCCACGAGGCAGCAATAGCATGTGCGAGCGGGCACAAACTCTCGACAGCGGTGCGACTCGCAGGGGCGAGGGCGGCACAGACGGAGGGCTGGGAGGGCCCGACGGGGCTCGCCGCGGTCGGCACGCGCGCCCCAAAGCGCTGACCACGGCATGCTCCCCCATTCGATCACCATCGGCCAAGACTTCGGCCAGAGCCCATGCGCACCCGAGGAGGGATGCTCCGATGGCCCCCAAGTGGCCTCACAACGACCGCGAGGCTGCGCCGCGGCAGCGACGTGGCCCACCGGCTTCTGCCCCGCCGCCTCTCGACGGCCTCCTCAAAAAAAGTGCCTCGTGGTCACTCCGATCGAGCATTGCCTGATGGGGGGTCGATACACGAAGGGGCGCAGTCGTGCATCTCTTGACTGCACGCAAGAGTGACCCTGGGCAAGAGTGACCTTTGGTGCGCAGCTTTTTGGCGGCGCGAGCGGGCCAAACCCAGGCGCGTAAGGCTACTATCGCATCGCGTTCGGGGATCGGGGGACCCCACTGGGCCCGCACTAAAGGTCAGTCTGGCGAAAGGTCACTCTTACGTCTAGTCGAATCTCGGGGGGCGGGGCAATGCAGCTTCTGCCGGGCCCCTTTCCTGCAACCCTCGATGCCCCCAGCCCGTCGCCCCCTTTTTTCGAAACGCCCGGCCCGAAGCTACGAGAGGTCAGCTTCTGAACCTGTTGCAAGCCAGGCCCTCTTTCGGGGGGGGATCACGCACATGCTACGCGGCTGGCACGCCCGCACCTCGCTCCCACGTCGCTGCCCGAGTCGCTCGCGGCTGCCAACGCCGCGGCGTAGCCTCAGCCTGACGGCAGCGTAGCTCGGCACAACTTGATCCCATTCGAAGTAGCGCAGCAGGTGTCCAACGACGACATGAAGGTACCAAGCGCTACGTAGCGCAAGCCCGGACGCGGCAGAGCTAATTGTGCACCTGCACCTCTGGAGCAGGAAGAGCGCGGCCGCGGAAGATGACGAAGGAGGGAGCTGCGCTCAGAGCACGAAGCATTTCCTGCGCAATGCTGCATAGGATCTGAGGTGTGGGGGGTGAGACCGAAGTGACGCGTGAGGTGCCCCAATCTGGACATTGTGTTGCTTCGTGCGTGACGCGCGTGCTGGCGAGGCGAGGCGAAGCAGCGCGATCTCGTCCCCTGGCCATGGCCGTGTAGAACAACGCTGGGGCGCCCCAGGCCCTGTCTTGGGGTTAGCTGTCCCGATGGTCGTCCCAATGCTTGCTCTGATGGTTGTGCAGCTGGTTGTTCTGATGGTTGTCCCGATGGCTGTCCAAGTAAAGTTCCCAATGGTTGTCCTGATGCTTATCTCGATGGCTGGTTGTCCCGATGGTTGTCCCGATATTTGTCCCGATAGTTGTCCCGATGGCTCTGCCAGGCCATAATAATAAAAATGTGTTCTACGAGGCTAGACGTGCAGAAAAATGCGCTACGCGAGTCCATTATACAAATGCACGCTCTGCCAGGCCACAGTGCAAGACAAGTCAAACACAAAAAAAACCTGTGAGGCTACGAAACCAAAAATGCTCCCCGCGGGGGGGGGGAACACAAAATGCTTGCGGGGCAAAACGAAAGTTTAAACCATGTTCGACGCGGGGTATAACATTAGAATGCGCCCTGCGGGGCCAAACAACAATTAAAGAACAATGAGATCAAATGTAACACTCGCAAAATCACTGTAAAGCTGTGACACGCAATGCAGGAGTAGCACAAACCTATGAACTAAGCAATGATTCAGGAGAAAACCCCAATCATAATCTTTTTAGGGCTGTAGGGCTATAGGGCTATAGAGCTATACGGTAATAGAGCTACAGGGCTATATGGCTATAGGGCTATAGGGCTATAGGGTGTAGGGGTATAGGGCTGTGGAGCTGTAGGGCTACAGGGCTATAGGGCTATAGGGCTATTGAGCTATAGGGCTATAGGGCTATAGAGCTGTAGAGCTGTAGGGCTATAGGGCTATGGGCTATTGGGCTGTAGGGCTATAGGGCTATTGGGCTATGGGGCTATAGGGCACCCCCGGGCACCCGGGCACCCCCGGGCACGCCCGGGCACCTGGGCACCCGGGCACCCGGGCACCCCCGGGCACCCGGGCACCCGGGCGTGCGGCGAAAATCGGCGGCAAACCTAACCTAACAATATGAATCCGCTAGGACCCCTACAGAGGCAAGCTCTGATAGATTGGGGAATGACAAACAACTTAAAAACACCCTATGGAATCGCCAGGTCACCACGGTGAGAAATGCTATCTGACGCGTCCTTAGATGATAAGACACTGCCCCGACGGGTGCCCTGAGTGTCGTCCCGAAGGTTGTCCCGATGGTTGCTCCGATGGACAAATAATGAGGTCGGCAAAAAAGTCGTAGTAAAGCCAAGGGGACAAAGTGAGACCGGCAGATGGCAAGACCGATTGGTACATGGTAAGCAGAGACTTGCTAAGCACCACCAGAAGCAAGCCATAGCAGCGTCTGAAATTCTACGAGCGGTCCAGTCCTGTGAAGCAGCCATGTCTGAACACATGGTGCCCAGGAAAAGACACATAGATAGGTGAACTACAGGGATCGACAGACAGATGGATAGATAGACATACAGATGTAGATGAACCGATCGACAACTATACGCATGCACGCATCAATGTCGGTATTATGATGTGTGTCCGCTCGTGAGTTGAAGTGCGCGTCCAATGCACATCAAATATGATGTCAATCCTCCCCCTCACCTTCTTATCACCCGAAAGGTGGTCTTAACGGTAATACAGTTTGACTCGGGAACCCGGGGGATGGATTCGGCGTCGGTTTTCGAACTTCGTAAGGTGGCCTAGTGCAGATGTGGGTCAGCAGGGCCGTCGGGGGGGGTACGCAACTTCTGTGGGGAAACTGCTGCCAGGCCAGTTTCGTTCTGCATATGCCAACTACTTCCGAAGCCCAGTAGCCGAGGTCTGTGAGGGTCACCGTGTGACTGCAACCACAAAGGCCGCTTTGCGGAAACAAGCGTGCAGACACGTTTTGCCTTGCAATGCGCGGCTGCTGGATAAAACTCGACCCGGTCAACGTGGGCCTCTGAGAGACCTTTCACAAGCAGCGCTCAGGTCCAACATGAGCACGATTACCCGTCCTTGGAAAAAGCCATACATTGGTTAAAAGCACAGGCAGTAGAGCATCATACGGTAGCGCTGTTGAGCCCTGCAAAATGCAAAATCCAGCTTTCCTTAGAAGAGACTTGGAGACGACGGAAGGTGCGCACGGAAAAAAGGGTCCTGCCCCAGGACGTGACGCCGTGGATCGTCCACGCCCCGCCCGACTCGCACACCAGCGGCCCGCCGCTGTCGCCGCTGCAGCCGTCCGTGGTGCGGCCATCGCTGGTGACTCCAAGCGCGCAAAGCATGCTGGAAGCGGTGCCCTTTTCTGCAAGTGGTCCTGGTCCCTGCCAGCTCATTTGCGACGTTATTCTGCATCCCGCGGGCCCGCAGTGGAGGCCATTGGGCAAGAGGCACTATCGCTCCGTTCATCTCTGGACGCCCTTCATGAGCTTGAATGCGACAAGGGGACTGCAGGAAGAGACATGGTGCATGGTGGAGCTTGGAACCAGGACAGGAGCAGATGGGAGGGGGGCGGGGAGGGAGGAGGGATTCAAAGGGAGGCGAGCGAGAGGGGGAGAGTGAGGGGGAAAGGAGAGGAAAGCCGACGATCAAGAGCTGAAGCGAAGCGGCTGCAGCAAGAACAAGGCGTCACCCAATCCGATGAGAAAATAAAAAAGACTCCTATCGGTGACGGCCGCAGCTGGAGAGGCCCCTTTTCGGAGACCAGCAAATACACACCACCAACAGCCCTGGCTTGGCCCATCCTGGGCCCTGGACTGGCGTATGCGCCCTCCTAGCTCAGGCGAAGAGGGCCTACGCACTGATACTGGGCCCAGGAATAGCCTGGTCAGGACCGATGTAATGTGCGTAGCTCGCGCCCCTGAGGGCCCGACTTTCCAGCACCACTGCCAAGAGGTAGAGGACGGATGGCCCTCCAGACCTCGAAGAATGCGATCGGATGTCGCCGAGGTCTGGAGGGCCGTCCGCGTCCTACCTGTACTAGAGGTAATAAGTGGGAAATCGGTCCATGAGGTCCCCGACCTGCGAAGGCCTCGTTGCATTGGGCGTTGCTCAAGGTCACGACGTGCGCCTTTGTGGCGCGCCAAGTGGGGCGGGGCGGTGGAGGGGCATTCTATGAACGCAAGGGGGCTTCTTAGAAACCCTCACGCCTTTTCTGAGACGCCTTTTCAGAAACCTGCTGACCCTTCCAAGAAGCACCTTGCTCTCTTAGAAGGCCCTCACCCCACCCCCCTTTCTGGCGACCAGCCACAGCTGGGGGCGCGCGTCGAAGCCGATGGGGCACCGAGGAGGGGTCACGACCACAACTCCCTCCAGTTGTGGCTGGTCTGTTCAGCGCGCCGCCGAGCGCCTCCTGCAGGGTGTTCGGCTGGACCGTTCCGTCGGCCGCCTCGGTCTGTTCGTGAGGGGCAACGATAGGCGTGACCAGCTCGGGGGGGCAACATCGAACCGGAATCGGCGAGACATCGAGGATGGATCGGCGGTAGGGCGCCGATGACTACTGGAACCCCGCGTTCCTGGGCGAGGTGGGCTATATCGGGCCCCCATCGGCGATCAGTGAGCGACCGGGGTCCGACGCTTCCCCCCCCCGACGTGGCCCCTGAGTTCGCCCCCAGGACAGGGGGTGTCGCACGCCGAGCGGCCCCCGCCTTCCCGACGAGTGAGCGGCGTCCACGTGCACCGCGCACCGAGGGAGTCACCTCGCAGCCAAGGGGGGGGCCCACCCCACCAACTCTGGCGTGGTGCCGAGTTTGTGCTGCTGGAAGCAACGCTCTCTCTTTTTCTCTCTCTCTCCCTCTCTCTCTCTCTCTTTCTCTCTCTCTCTCTCTCTCTCTCTCTCTCTCTCTCTCTCTCTCTGTATTCACCACAGGTGCGGAGTGCAGTTGCTCCGGAGGCTCATGTGGTGAGGCCGTGGAGGTCAAACAAATCCAGGTTATTCCGCCATTGCGGCCTCCAGAAAGCGATCGCGGACGAAAAGCTGGTCCCCGGGAAGGGGCCGACAGGTTCATGGCCCGCGGGCTGAACAAGAACACGACGCCAGAGGTCCGAGTCCAAGAAGCTCGTGTGAACCACCAGCCCCTCCTCCCCCCAAGTGGATCACAACCCCCCTTCTCCCCGAAGCGCCCCTCTCGAAGATGGGGGGCGGGCGGCCCAAGAAGAGCCCAAAGCCTCGAACCCCACGGACCAGACCGGCGGCGAGCGGGGGGGGGGAAACGAGAGGGAGAAGGCCTCCCCAAGAGGGCGGCGCGGCGTCTCAGAGGCCCCCATGGTCTTCTGAGGAGCTCTTTGCGTCTGCGGGGCAAGGCTTCGGCAAACTCCTCGGGAGGCCCGAGGCTTCCCGAGCCTTCCGAGCAGGCCCGCGCCTGCAGAATTCCCCCCGGGGGCGCGCCGTCGACCGGCGGAGCAGCGCCAGCCGCAGGGGCCCCCCCGCAGCTTCGGGTTGAGGGCCGCTCCGGGGCGCGGAGGGCGAGCTGAGCCCCGGGCCGTGTAGCCCCAGCCCTGGCAGCGAGGCGCCAGCTCGTCGCCGCCGTCGTCGCCACCGTCGTCGGCGTCGTCATCGTCGTCGCCGCCGTCGTCGGCGGCGGCGGCAGCGTCGGCGTCGGCTGACGATCGAAGATCGAGGCTGAGGATCAACGATCGAGGGTCGCGGCTCGAGGCTCGAGTCTCGATCACCGTCGGCCCTCGATGCTCACAAGCACCACAGGCCTCGACCCTCGCCGTCGGGAGCGACGAGCGAGGATCGAGGCCTGTGGGGCCCATCTGGGCCTCCAGGGGCCAAGGAAGGCGCCCTCGTCGCCACGACCTGGCCAGCCTCGAGGTCCTCGTCGGCACGCTCCGCAGAACAGGCCCGGGTTACACCGCCGCCCGTCGTCGTTGCCGTCGCTGTCGCGGCCACCGACCGTCGCCGCCGTCGCCGCCGTCGTCCGCGGCGCCGTCGCCGCCGCCGCCGCCGGCGCGCCCGCGCACGACGCGGCACGGCGCCGCCGGACCGCCGACGTCTTCAAGCAGAAAGCGAGACGGAGGCTGTTCGCCACGTTCGGACGCGGGGGGCAGGGGGGGGGCGAGGAGGGGAGGGTGCCTTCGGGCCCCGGGAGCAGAACGGCTCAAGGACAAAAGACGGGGAAAGGGGTCGAGAGCTCTGGGGTCCCACGTCTCGGAAATGCGGCATCGGAAGAGGTTGCGCGACTCCTGGAGCCTCTCCCGACCGCAGGTGGCGAACAGATGCACGAATCCACCGCTCCTCGGGATCCCAGGGCACGACTCCGAGGAGGTGGATATGGATATACTCTGGCTGTCGAGGCCTGGACTGGCAAGGCATGGACACCCAGAGGTATAGTCCAGGCTGGCATCAACGGGCCCCCAGGGCGGTCTAGACACCCCCGCGCTGCCTCTGGCAGCGCCAGGATTGGGGTGTTGAGACCGCCCTGGACTACCCTCGCCATTGCTCGGACGTCCATTCCCTGCGCATGTTTTAGGTTTCGTGCGTCCAAATGATCAAGGATGCTCCTCGATGGTCCTCGCCGAAAGAAAAATGCACACGTCCGAGCGATGCGAAGTACCGTGCGGATTGGTGGCCTGTTGGGGCGAACCTGGACTCCACCCAGGGTCTGCCTGTGCGCAACCCCGAGCCTTGCCAGAAATGGCTCGCCCTGGGCCTGGGACCAGCGCATACCCCCTCCCAGCTGCGTGGGCATGGGCCCCGAGATTCAACGCCACGAGGAAAACACGACCGCGGCTCCCGACCCCCTGACGATGAGGATTTCTTGAGCCGGACCGATGCGTGAGGACGCCAAGACTTGGATGACTTTACACGGCGCCAGGATGCCAGGGTGCAGGGCGCATGCACCGACCCTGTACCCAGGATTGGCCTGGACGTATACCCAGACCTCCGATTCCTCGATTTTTGTTCTATCTGCGGGGCTCCAGAGCGGTCGAACCAACTGTGGCGGCGAGGGCCCCAAAGCCTCACCTCCAGAAATCTCCCTCCCCACCCGTCGGAAATCCTCCCAGACTTGCAGATTGACGTCATCGCTGTGTTCTCCTCAATGTTGGTTTCTGGGAGACCTTTTCGGACCCTGAGATCATCAAGTCATCGACGCAGAGATCTTCATGTGCATGTCGTTTTCTGGCACGTCCCGTTGTGAGCGTCTGGCTGTGAGTGTGAGCGCGAATCCGAGCGGACGACGGACACGACGACGACGGCGGCTACGATCCGGAACGACGACGACGACAACTCACAGGCAGGCAGGCAGTGAGCAGGCCCCATCCCTTTCCTTGCTCTTCCTCTTCGTCGTAGCCCCTCCCTTTCTCTTCCTCCATCCTCCCATTTCCCTCCTCCTACGCCCTCCTCCCTACTCATTCGTCCGTCCTCCCTCCTCCTCCTCCTCCTCCTCCTCCTCCTCCTCCCCCTCCTCCTCTTCCTCCTCCTCCTCCTCCTCCTCCCGGGCGGCTGCCTCCTCCTCCTCCTCCTCCTCCTCCTCCTCCTCCTCCTCCTCCTCCTCCTCGTCCTCCCCATTTCTCCGTCCTCACGCATCCTTTATCCTCCCTGATGAATGTACTCCCTGGCGGCCTCCTCCCATGCTCTTCCTCTTCCTCCTCGTTGTAGCCCTTCCCTTCTCTTCCTCCTGCCTCCCTTCTCCTTGCTCTCCTCGCGTCTTCCTCCGTCTTCCTCCGTCTTCCCGCCTCCTCCCTGACGGCCGCCCTTGTCTTTCTATCGGGGTGGTCATAAGGCTCTGAGTGGACAGGAGTTGGAAGTGCACAACGAGCGCCTCGCTCGAGACATCTCCACAGATTGGCCACGAACTGGCGAGTGCAGCCATACCTGGTGGGGTTCTATAACCAGCGCCTCGTTCGAGAAATGTTCGCAATCCGCTTTGAAAGCCGAGTGGCACAAGCCACCACACAGGCAAACCGCCCGAGGCATCCCCACAATCTGGCCGCGGACGGGCCGCCGACTGCGACCCGCTGGAGTCATGAAACCAGCGCCCCGCTCGACGCATCCTCCCAGTGATAGGAAGGAACCTCGACCACCACAGAGGCAAACCACTCGATGCATCCAGGCGATCTGCGCTCATTGGGGTGTGCCGAAGCCAGCGCAGCGCCCCAGACTTCCTCACAATCTGCTCTGCAAGCCGAAGAGCCCATACCGCGAAACAGGCAAACCGCCTGAGGGCATCCCCGTGCTCCGGCCGCGAACGGGCCCGTGACATACCCCCTGGCGGCTCCCACTTGGGGTGCTGAAGCCAGCGCCTCGCTCGAGGCGTTCTCGCGATCTGCGAGTGTGAGTG